AAAAATATTTAAATATATTCTAAAATATAGCCTATACATCCTTAATATTGCCAACTATACAGTATTCCGTATAGAATCTGCATAATAATGTAAATGTGTAAAGAGTACGGAACGGTGGGACATCAAACAGTGTAAAGCCCTTTGTGGGACACTCTGTATTTTCAGCATGGGTAATAAGAATTGTAACTACGATATTTAGTTGTGTAATGAATTTATTCAACTTAACGGCAGATCTATATAATCAAAGTCTCGGAGAATGGGGATCAGCATATTTAACAATGAATACACTTCTCCTGACAATAGACAATATGTGTTTATTTAATAGTCTCGCTATATAGATACTTAATATGACTTGTTCTCTAACAGATCGCTGCCTACAACGTGACGGCCGAATTTTATTGTGCCTGGCCCTACTAGTTCCTTATTGTGCTTGAATCTATGATGGGTCGACCTCGTCTTCGGTTTACTTAATTAACCCTTTCTCTCTCTCTCTCTCTCGTTCGTTCATCCCTCACACCGTCGTCAACTAACAAATTGGATTATATGTACTCGCTATTTCTTTTAAGATGTCGCGACACGCGAAATCGAGTCTCGCGAACGTAGGAATTCGTTCTTGCGCCGAACCTCGAACAAATCAATCTCCCTCGAACATCCTATCCGTTTCCCTTCGCACGACGCTAGAATTTATCGATGGTTGTAACGTGATCGATGAACACATTAGTCTTACATTGTGTCTGTGTATGTGTCTGCGTGTGTCTCTGTGGCTGTGTATTAATTATATCTTTACAGGTGGAGTGACACGAGTACATAAAACGAGATAGCGATATGGTTACACGTATAGTATGTTTCCTTTAACCGGCAATCACACATCTCGTTTCGCGACAGTTAAAGAAAAGAACATATGTACAAATTATATCTATCCGTGTGTAGTTACCGGTTAATCTGTCAAAAACAATCGCGGAGAAAATGAACGCTGCAACGATTTCTTCCTCCCTCATCGATGATCGAGTGTCGCGATATAATTTATTTCATCTTTGAATGCGTTACATCGATTAAACGCGCATGCAATTAAATTGTACATCGACGGCGGACACATTTAAAAAAATGTCATTTTTTTTTTTATTATCCACGTTTCCCTAGTGCAGGAACGAATCCTCCTAAATTCGCATTTCATTCGGAGAACGCTCGACCCGAGCGGGGAAACATCGTACACGTGACCCGCTCGCGTTAACGTGTATGTATAATGTATGTATACATCAAACAATTTGTCGATTTCGTGTCGATCGTTCGTTATTAATGTACATGCTTCGAGCGGGCAGGTGTACGCGAGTCCCCTGCGTGGCCTCGAGAAAGAACTGTCCGGTATGCCGAGAAGCGTCCTCGTTTCCCCGCATCCTTTAACAAATCAGTCGAACATTCGTCGTGCTAAGCGTAAATCATCTGAAATTCCATGGGGTCCGGGGGGGAAATTATTATATAGAGATATTAAAATACAATTTGTCCTTGGCTGCGTTTCGTCCTCGTTTGGTCGTTATTAGGACACCGATATTATAATATACGTCAGAATGCGTGAAAACGATTGTTCGATCGGACACCTTCTCCCAGACCGGTGTAATTAGAAGATTCAGACAGACGGGAACGCGCATAAGAGATTTTTCATTTCACTTTTTTTTTGCAATATTTTTTTATCGTAAGATTTACGTGAATCGTTATATAATGGCACACAGCATGGCAGTTGCAACAATGTACTTCAATAAACTGTTTGCTTTTTCTCTTCACTTTTTTTTAAATAACTTAGCTTAACTTACGCTAAACCTCGTCGTTACTCTCTCTCTCTTTCTCTCTCTCTCTTACGCCCCATGACGATTCGTGATCGATCGAGGACTCCTTTTCATTTTGCATCGGAGAGAAACGAACGATGAATGAAACGGCGAAAGGACTCCTCGATCATCTGTCGATCGTTGATTTTAATTAAAGCGTCGTCGATGCTAGGCTTCGACACTTTGCTCGCATCCCTGAATCCCTGTTTCTTCTCCCTCACTCCTTTTTCTCTCTCTCCCGTCAATCACGCATTATTGTATTAGAGCTCCATTAGGTATGTACACGCGATCGAAAATCGTATTGCAATTTTTCATTTTAATTAACGATCGAACACGGCATACGATACTCGACTCTGTTATTTCGTTTTGCCCATCATTCCGTTACTTATTTTCACTTAACGATTAAACACGTAGAAATTGGAGAATAAAAAAAGGGGGCGGGGGAGCCGCGTCGTCGCGACGTCGTTTCTCGTCGTCCCCGCGGCATCGTCGATCACGTTTCCGTTTTTCAACAAATCAATCGCCGTCGCATCGCGTGATTTTTGTGCCAATTAATTAAATCCGGCGCCGCTTCGTTTCGAACCGAGTCAATTACGCCACCACGACGCGCCTTGCGCAATATTCACATAGAAACGTTTGTTTGTTTGTTTGTTTGTTTTTTTTATCATTGTAAATACTAAACAGTCGAGTCGAAAAATAATATCGAGACGGCCTCGCTCACGCGCTCTCACGATACTCGCGTTCATTCTCGCTCATGTTCCACGGAACAGTCTCAGCTTAGGATCACTCGAGTGCGGCACGAACGATTACTATTCAACCTGTTCCACGGTTTGACAATTCCTCGATGGACGATGGAACCTTTACTCGGCTTAAATACCTAGTCGATATATTTAAAAACGGAGAGTTAGTGGAATTAGTCTCTAATTAGTCGTTATCTAACTACTCGTCGAATGTGAAATGCGTTTCTAGACTGCCGATTTTTATGCAAATTATAACGTTCGCCAGCTGGGAAACCGTGTTTTAGAACATGAACATCGAGATATCCTGAATAGCCTTAAACATGTACGACACCACGCGGCGTAAGTGCATCAAACCTGCAGTTTAGCCATTTCAAATCGGATAGGATTAAATTTGATGATAAGTTCGTTTCAGCGTCCCGAATAAAGGTTTCATTATTTGTTCATGTTCGAAGGTAGCTCCTCCTCGCACTTGAATCCTATTGCGTGATTTCTTCATTTTTTTTTTTCATTTTTCTTTTTGGAAAATTTTTACCCATCAGTCATCCATTTATTTCTATTCACAATTTTGAGTTAGATAATCCGCGTAGCTCGGAGGACAGACTATTTTTAAGTACGTACGTAGAACGTTGTAATATCGAAGCACACGCTTGTTCGTTTAATCGTTAAACAGTCTTAAAATTGAAGATAATTAATCAATTATTAAAGCGATTACATCCTACTGTTTACAACCTTTTTTTTTTAAATATCTGATAAAGACGATACGATGATGAATGTTTAAGTGATTGCTTTATTACTGATTGAGTGGTTATGTTAATTATTTCGGACACGATAAAGGGTACCGTTAAGAAGATTTAAGTTCAAACACTCGCTTACACGGGCCTTCTCAATTCTCGAGCGATCGAAAGAAAGACTTCATATTATTTTCTTTTTAATCATTGTTAAACTCATGCACACGGAACACAGTCACATCACGTTAACAATTGTGTCAATTAACGATAATATTAATTTTTTTTCTGCTTAGCTATATATATAATATATATATATATATGTATGTATATATATATATATATATGTATATTTATATATAATATGTATAATATAACATGATGATATAGGCTTGATATGACGGTGGCACACGTTTGCTAATCGTCAACCGTTTTTCCCTTTATGCTTCGCATTCTCCTATCTCCCTATCCCTCTACTCGATGTCTCGCTGTCTAAACGCAAAGTTCGAGGAACGAAAACCCTTTGAACTGTCGAGCTACATTGCCGGCGGGACGAGAATACGTTTTGTACTGAAATCAGAATTTGTACGAAATAAACTAGAGCATCAGTCCGTAAAGATCGAGTGTCGTTGATTATCATCTGGATGCTTGTCGTCGTTCGATTGTCTGTGGATTCGATTCTCCTGTTGCAATTTCCAAAGAAAATTCACTTAAGAAGAGTTTTCGTTCCCGATATGTCTTTCTCTTTTTTTTTTTTTAAATATTATATCAAAGAAATTGTTCCCACCTGTTTTAAACTGCTCTCCACGACAAACGAGATAACTCGAACGGAAAACAACGTGGTGCGCGATAGCTATTGCTCGAGTCAAGAGGGATAACGGAATTCGTGGCGACATGTTCTATCTCGGTTTTGCTCGTTCGCACAGGGCAGAGAATCCGATGCCCTTCGATTCCAGCGTGATCTGGATCAATAGAATTCGCGCGAGTGTTTCAAGTCTTTCGTAAGAGGGGTATATTTCGTAAAGGTGCGGTTGTCCTTTTCCTAAAGATTCGCCTCAGAGATCGAACATGGAAAAAGGTGCTAGCAACGAGAAAGAGCGATTTATCGACGTCTTAAAGAGAGCATCTGTTTTTTTTTTTTTTAAAGTATTAACGATAAAATTTTTACACTTTCAACATGTCTCTTAACTCTTCGTACGATAGACACGACAATACAACGTATATTTTTTTTTTATTTCTTTGTATATAGAATATGTATACAGCGAGCGGACACCGGACGAAGAACGCGTCGTTCGCTTCCTATTTAATATTACTTTAGTAAATTCCTGAAACGAAGTAAATTTCATCCCTAGAACGGTCAGCTTCACCCGCGAATCTCCGTTCGATTCGATGGCCTTTGCGTTCCGTAACATCATCGTGGAGATAGGTGTCGCGGATTTTTCTCTACTTTCTTGCTTGCTGGTCTCTCCTCTATTTCGTACGTCGGATCCCGTTAAATACTCGAGAGATTCGTGTTCAGCGAGATATCTAATGTATACACTTAGTACAGGTAATTAGCTCTAGACTAGCAGCTGCCTATGCCTGGGAATGGGTGTCAGAATCAGCGGGGACCACAAGTGGGCATCGTTCTTTCTTTGCTCGCAGGACTATCGTCGACTATGTATTTACAAACGGCTCGTTTCTCTGTCCCGTCTTTAGTGCCTCGGGTATATTCTGTCAGCTCTCCCAACGTTTCTCTTCGCCATCGAGAGTTCCTCCGACTTTTTTTTTATGCTTCTCGCAATTTTCACCGTTCGTTGAACATACGCGATCACGGTAATGATCGTCGACCAGAAATCGTGACAGTTTGAACGGCTCTTTCTCAGACGGAGTCACGCCACCACCGCTTCCGGACATTTGTCTCCTATCTTCGTTTAAGGACGATCGTTGTGGTTTGTACATATTTATCCTGGATGCGTTTCATCGACGACGCACGAAAAGAACGCTTCTAGTCAGATCGTCGATTCACTTTAGAACTAGTAGTAATGGAGTAATTAGTTTAATTTTCGTTTCAACAACTTACCGATGGAACCGTTCCATCCTTAGGCTCTCTATTCCAAGCTCGATTAGATATCGGTGCAACTTTTTTTAATTTTTTTTTTTATTAATATATAGACTACCTCCGAACGAGACTCGTTCCTCTAAATCAAACAACGATTGAAATTGTATTCGTGGAAACGAGTTGCAACAACGTCCGTCGGGCGTAACGAAGGATCGAAACTGGAGGAAGTCAGATTTTCCCATGAGAAACGTTCTAAACCTCTATTATATATGTAAATTGACGAGTATACGAGTGGCTATTTACACGTGTAAAGATCTCGGTCAACAATGTTTCAATAAACGTCGCTCTAACGGTACGAACGAAGGTTCACCAACAATTTTCATAAACATCTGCACGGCTGTCAACGTAAAAAATAGACACGTACCAAGTGTGTGTGTGTATGGGGCTGAGAAACTATATGGAAGTTGTTCACGCGCGTTTAACAGTTCTCTAGACGCTCCGCGGCGATAGGTAGCTCGGCTAACGTGTCAATTCGCCTATAGTACTCTACAAACTTGTATACATACGTACGTCCTGCGGTTCACGGTTAATTATGTACATTTTATTAATTGCGTTCGGCCATCGTAAGGTTTATATTTGACGAGACGAAAATCTCCCTTGTCGATCCTCTATGAGATCCAGCGACGATCCGCATCGAAGATCGATCGAACGATAGACCGATGATCAGTATTGCTGCGTCTTTTTCGTGCGTCTCACTCCCCTCACGCATCACAAGATCATCGAGCATGCACGAAACGTTCGTTTATTGTCATCTTGAAAGCTAATCAGCACCGTCCGTAATAATTCTCCGAAACCTCTTTTAGTAAACCTCAAAATGACCGCGGTCATCGTTCCCTTTAAATGCTCGCAGGACACCTCGTGTCATACGTATATTCTCTCTCCTAACTACCGTTCCTGCTTCGTTTCTATTCTCGTTTTCTGTTTCGTTATTTCCTAGCTCTTTGCAACTAGAGTTCTAACACTCGTCTTTGGACCCGTAACAAGAAATCCGAAATTAGAGGGTTTAGATTTCACGTATGTATATCTCTTCCTCGGCTGATCAGACAATTTTAATCGTGGAGGATATGGAATTGTCAACGTTAACAGTGGAAGGAAGTAAGATCGAGTGACTATTTAGAATCGTTCCCTCATATTGTTCATGGAATACAGGTTGAGTCAGTATTTAGCGACATTTAATTGCATCTAGTCGACGCTTTTCATTGACTCAGCTGTATATTCTTATAATGGTACGATTCCGTTTCGTTTGGTTCAATGAGGATCTTAAAAAATAAAGAACGTTTTGCCACCCTTACGTCATGTTTCTGAATTTCTTCAAGACCAGAGCTCGGACGAAACTCGACGTCGCGACCGTGAACCGTTCGTTTCGAAACAGAGCATCCCTGGACGATTCTGAGACATGCAATCAACTCGTCTACTGAAAAAGCTATCTAAATTCTATCGTAACAAGTGTACCCATCTTCCCGAGACGCCCTGCGTCGTTCATTTACCCGGGCGTTAATCATTTCTCCGAGAAACCGTCGAGTTTCGTGCGTAGCGGGACACCTGTTCATTGCGCACCGTTTGCAACAGCGAAACACGTTCTCGATCAGGCGAATCGTTGTTGATCGATTATCCCGAAGACTCGGGCGAATCTGGCGAGCGACAATTCTAATTTATTTTAGAATTGTCGCGAGGCTGGTAATAGATGAATCGAACAGATGATGATGATGATGATGGTGATGAAGATAGTGATTCGTGATGATGACTGAGATTGATGAATGGATGCTGTCTGTCGTCGACGTCGATGAGGTATCTCGGTTGCCTGTTTTGTTCTTTTCTCTCATCTAGTACGACTCTAGAAATGCTCTAGATTTGTCTCTACTGTGGTTGCGTGTGTGTGTGCACGTGATAACATCGAAGAGGACCGATAGCTTTTGTCTGTTTGGTTGTTCTTTTTTTGTCATGTACGACCATACGTGGTTTGGTTTACTTATCTGCTATCCTGTCAGTGGGTCTCTGGTCGCGTGATCGTGTCCGCTTCTCGCTTCCAAGCCCGTCGTCGTCTTCTCTCTGCGGTGAAACAACGCGAGAAACTCGGGGGATTGTTCTACAGTCGCCGCAGATTAATTCCTAGCTATGGTAGCTTCTGGCAAATGATCGAAGTGTTCTATCGAAATGTAATTAAGAAGAGAACTCACGAATGAGAGCAGCTGTCCGCTGTTCGTCGTGACCGGCCTTGGCGAGCTCGGATCACTTTTGAGTCTCTTCGTGGTCGGACGTTTCCAAAAGTTTCGTCAGCAGCTGCGATCCTTCTGAATCAGCTGTACTCGCTTCTACCGATGACTCAATACTTTTCTCATCCTGTAATCAGACGATTCGTCCGTAGTTAATTATTTGGAATTGAGGCGGTATCGTTAGTAGGGAATTAGAAATTACCTCCTTCTTCAGCTCGTCCAATAATCTTTTCCTGTCCGCTTTCAATCGATCTGCTTGCTCCGATTGAACGGCGGTTTTTATCCCTGACAGCTCCAGCAGAGCTAGGTGCGCGTCCTTCTCGGAGACCGCAGCTTTCAAAGCTTCGCGTCTGCACATTTTATAAAGGATACTTTGAATAAGCATTTTTATAGCAGATTGTGAGGGACGCTTACTTCATTTGATGCAGATCTTCGAGTTGCACGTTCCTCTCCTCGCTAAGGCGTTCAAGTTTCTTCTCGTACTTGTGCAGTTTCGAAAGGAGGGGTTGACAGGTGATGCATTTCAACGCTGATGCGCTCTGCATCGACACGATCCTCTGCTCCAACTTAGCTATCTAATAAAAAAATGAATATATTATATCGTTTTACGAATGTCTTACTGGATTTCTTGTTTGTTATTTCACTTTACCTTTTCAACAGCCTCCGTCCTGATCTTCTCTTCGTTCTTCAATTTCTTCTCGCTGTCGCTCGCGATCACGATGCTCTCGCGAAGAGCTTCGCTCAGTTCCTCGATCTTGGTCCTCTCTTCTGCGAGGTCCTTCGACAACTGTTGCTCTTTGTCCTCCTTTTCTTTGACCATGTTCACCAACTCCTCGATCTGTTCCAAGTCGATCCTCTCGTTAAAGGCCTTCTCCAACGAATCGACCTCGTCTTCCAGTTGTTGGACCCTCTCGTCCCTCACCCTGATCTCTTCCTTCAGAATCCCGATGTCGTCGCACTCGCTGAGCTCTTTACGCAGAGCTACTGCTTCCTTCCGTAGCTTCGTTATTTCATTCTTGTTCTCGGCGATCTGTTCCTCGTAGTCTTGAAGCTTGTTGTCCTTTTCGGTCAAGGCGTATTCCATTCTCTTCATCTTCTGCTCGAAGTCTTCGTCCGGCTTCGTTATCGTTCCTTTCTCTGTCCCTGCTAGATTCCCCAAATTATTACTAGATGATAAATCTACTTGATCTCGAAAGAAAGTACCTTTATACTTCTCCTCGAGCTTCAACAATTCCTTTTCCAAGCACCCGACTCGACTTTGGAGTTGCTCGATCCTGCATTCTCTGTCTTGCAGCTTCCTCTTCAAAACATCGACGTTATGCTCCCTCACGTACTCTTCCAACTGCGTGACCATCTCCTCCAGCTCGATGACCCTCTCCTGATCGATTCTGGATTCTCTGTTCTCGTCGTTCTTCTCTATCCATCTCTCCAGCTCTTGTATCCGTTTGTTCGCGACTTTCACTTGATACCGAAGATCGTGCAGTTCCTTCACGTCCGGATTCTGTTTCAAGAAATCTTCGAACTCCGCCACGGTGTCCTCTAGCTCTTCGATCCTCCTAGTCTTTCTCTCGATCACGACCTCGAGATCACGTACGCTTTCCGTGTCCGCGTGCTCTCTAAGAAAATTCTCCAACGATTCCATTTCCTGTTCGAGTTCTACGATCCGCCGATTCCTCGTCTCGAGTTCCAGCTTCCAGACCTCGTTGTCCTCCACTCGAGCCTCGGATCCTTTCCTCTTGGCCGAGCTCTTCAGCGACCGTAGCTCGTCCTCCAGCTGGGATATACGCTCGTTCTTTGCCTCGATCTCTTTCTTCTCCTCCTTCAGCTCGTCCATCAGCTTCAAACTCTGCGTACACTCGTTATTACTGTTCTTCACGTTCTTGCACGCGGTCAGCTGATCCTCCAGCTCGGCGATCCTCGTGTTCTTCGCCTCTAGCTCCTCCTTCCATTCCTCCATACCGACGTTCTTGGCGTCCTTCATCCTCTTGGAACAAGCCTGCTCCCTCAGCAGCCTCTCCAACGCCGCGGCCTTCAGTTCCAGCTCCGAGATCTTTCGGTTCTCCTCCATCGAGCCTTTATCCGGCTGCTGTGCGCGGTGCGCGCCCGGAGGCAAGTGCGAACGCAAAGAAAGGGTGAACGAAAAAAACGATTGGACACACAGGGGGTGGAAAGCGGGGAACACGTGTGTGCGAACGACTGGTTTCATGTGGAACGACGTAAGGTTTGCACGTTCTCCGAATGGCATTGAACGTGGCGGTTTTCGGTTCTTGCGGTGGCCCTCGTTCAGATTCTCTCATCGTTGCTCTCAGCATCGAAGCCATCGTCTCTCTCTGGCGTGAACAGTCGTCAGCCTCTGATCGGTTCTGCATCTCGGTCTCGCGCCATTCACATTCTTTATGTATATTATTTATATTTATATATCTACATACATATCTCTCCCTCTCTCGCTCTTTCGCTCGCTCGCTCGCTCGCTCTCTCTCTCTCTCTATCGTGTACGTGTATATATACACATGTACTGTACATGCGTCTATCCGTTCCTCCTGCGTGGCATGTATATACATATATTCACGTTACACATATATATGTACATACACGAGCGGATCGTTAATTATTAATTAAGATTATTGTAGCCGTTGTCCTCCCTCTTCCACACTCTCTCTCTCTTTACATTAATATTTATATTTATATATGTATCTATATTTTCATATTTATAGTTATATTTATATTTATATGTATATATTTATAATTATTGTTATTATCGTCAATATTCTCCTGCTATCAATTATTAAATATGTTAACAATGGTCGCAGCGTTACGTAAAATAATTATGTATCTTGACAAATGTGTTGTCGACATGAGAGTGGGCGAATCAGTACGGTGTCTTCTTTCGTTTCCCGTTCGATTATTTAAGTTTCGTATTTTAATATAAGTTCGTGTGTACTTGTAAAGTTCGCTTAATATGCAAATTGTACTAAAAAGAACGGAGAAGGCGTCCCCAACGAAAATCGACCTTAGAAGAAGCTTTTTAGGAATCCGGCGGCACCCGCCTGCGTTCCCATTCGGTCGCGTACGTTCGTTTCACATGATAACCAATCGCCGGTGTTCAAGCAAACAGGGGGAAACGTGCATGTAAGAAAAAAGACAACAACGACAAGGCGATAAACGCGCAGGTTCATACGTTGTCCAGGGTCAGCATGAAAAATTGAAAAGAGACACGTCGGTTAGTCTTGTTCTTTTATATCGGCACGGTCGATGTCGCGCAAAGGAACCGCCGCAAAGAGATTCCTTTGGAGCGTCAAACGAGATTAGTCCGAGCGGGTAAACGGTAGGAGAGAGAAGAAATAAAAACATTGCGAGTTTCGAACTGACCTCTTGCTGTGCAGTTGCGGCTTGTTTCAACTTGGCTTGTGCGGCTTTGAGTGCACTGCGAACAGAATTATTAATCGCACGTGGATAAAGGATTTATGCATAGAACCACCGACGACACAACGAAGTTCGAAGGTATTTAAAGAATGGACTCTAGCGATTGTACGAATCGTCGCGTGTGATACTGACTCTTGAAGCTCTCTGATTTGTCTTTCCTTGGCGTTCTGCTCTTCCTGAGTCATTTGTATCAGCTGCAGTAACCTCTCGGTCTCGGCGGAGCTTCTGGCCGACTCTTCTTTCGCTTTCTCCATCTCCTTCTCGGCAGTCTCGAGAGCCTTCTGCATTTCCGCCAGCCTCTTGTCTGGCGATCCACCGCTCTAAACACATAAGAATTATATCAACGGTATTTTCTCAAACGAATATTAACATTGTTTTATATCCCTGTAAAACATCGCGTTAAGAAGTAAAACAGTCACGTTTTTTTAAGTCTTTTTTAAGCGCCACCGGTTTTTGCTCGCTGGACGCCGAGCCTCGTTCACACTTTTTTGCCTCGTTTCTTTCTCGCTCGTCTACTTTTTCGGGCTTAGGTTTCTTGCTTACTTTTTTGCTTACTTTTTTACTCTGTGCTACGCGGCGTCGAGTGACGAGCGATGCTACATCAGATAAGAAACCCGACTCCGTTCGGTGGCACGTGTCCGGAAGCTATCGTATTTCAATGTAAAAACTTAAGGATCTCATTCGCGTGTATTTGTACCGTACGTTTACTACTCGGCGGCCGAACTGTCAATGTATACAGGGTGAGTCGCTAAAAACAAGCCACCTGAATAACTTCTACATTTTGTGAGATAGGAAGAAATGTTTCAGACAAAAGTTGCTTGGTTTCGAGGGACTAATTACGTGGTGTACATAACTCTACTTCAAGTGGAGGCGCTTAAAAGATTTGAAGGTCAGATTGATTTTTTTAAATGGAACCACATGTTTTTGAACTCCTACGATTATAGACCTTATGAAGACAATTTCAATGATATATCATTCAAGGTGATTCAAGATCGGTTATAAAAACGATTCTCTCTTCTTATTCTTCCTTCTACGATTCTGCGTACCTTCTGTAACTGCTGTTCCAGCTGATCCATTTTCGCCTTCCGTTTCTTCAGGTCCTGATCGAGAGTTTGGAGCGTCCTCTCCTTCTCCTCTACGGTTCTAGCTTTCTGGTCTACGGCCCTCGCTCGTTCTTCCATCTGTCTTATCTGTTCCTCCAACTGTCTTCTCTCTTGCGTAGTGTCGATACCAGGTCTCGCGGCGCCAGCTTGGAGTGCTTGCACTCTCTTGTTCGCCTCGTGCAAGTCCACCTGCGTCGGGAAACAAACGATCAACCGTTGCCCCACCGTCTACGAGACGCTACGGCTAGATGAATGAAAGCTGCCTCACTTTAAACGTGCGCTCGTTAAATTTTACGTAATGCGGTAAACGATTTCGAATGCGACTCGTAAAAGTGGCAGCAGCGTTCATGAATGATAGATGCAGATAAGAACGCAATTAAAAAACAAGTGAAACGCGCGTATAAGAATAAACTCGCAGGTATCTCGCAAAAAATCTAGTGACGTTCATAGCGTACGAGTATAATAATAATTATATACATATATATATATATATGTGTAAAAAACGTATGCGTCGAGATAAAAAATGTCGACATGTACAAGATGTGCGCGAGAACGCATTCCGTGTGTTATCCATTCTGCAGTACAAATACGTGTATAATCGCAGATAGTGGCTGACTCATTCATCGCAATTTACATACGTGGCTAAGAACCATTTTCTATCTCTGGCATCTCGAATACAGTAGCATGCTCCCAAAACGAAATCAAAGGTAGAAAAACGAAAGAAGTGATCGCTCATCGTTCCGACGAATCGAACGCGCAACAGAACTGTAGCATTAATAATAATAAGAATAATAATAATTGACCAGTCGAACGAGAGTCGACGAGGGAGAGGGATCGAAACGTTCGATCGTTGTTCTTTCGATGAATTGCGTTACATCGTTTCGTGATTCGCTTCGACCCGGTTCGCTCGTCGCTGCAGCTAATGATGTAACAACAATAAAAATAACGGCATAACCATTTAACATACTCGAGAAACGAAAACAAAGAGCATGTACGAGCACGCAATATGGTTGTGCTTGAAAGTAATCGCAATAGTATAAGGGGAACGATTTCGTGGAGAATAATAATAAATCAATTCTATATACATACGAGTATATATAATAATAATAATAATAATAATAATAATAATAATAATAATAATAATAAGGGTGGATGCGAAACAATCTCGAAGGGGGGTATGATAAATGGTGAAGGCGATGCAGCGCTTCGCTGTGAAGTGTGACGGACGCCCCGAGATATACATGTACGCAACAGAAGATGAAAAATATGTGCGGGTGCATCGTTTGATAGCTTTTTTTTTTCGTCTGTATACGTATATATAAATCTTATATACACGATATCGTTCTCATTCTATTACACAAACCGATTTGATTATTATTTTATGTTTTGTCATTTGCGGCGTGCATATACATATATGTATATATATATATGAGCTGTAGGCGAGTTTCTGCTTCGTCGGCGACGAAGGCAGAGGCTGCGGTTGAAATGAGACGTGACATAGAGAGACGTGGAGGCGCGATGATTGCCGGTCGACAACGATCAGCCGATATACATTAGGCAGAGACATTAGTGCAGGCATGTACGGTGCTGATTGTAGGCAGTAGTACTGTATAGAACGTGGTCAGGCGAGCGCGGGCCGTGTGTCTGTTGCTAACCTGATTTTTCTCCAGTTCCTGGCACAGCTTTTCGAGCTGCGCTTGGAACCGCTCGCGTTCCACGGCCGCCTGCTTAACCTCCTCTCGCGCGCGTTCGAGCTCCTTTCTCAGCCTGGCGGCCTCCTGGCCGTTTTGTTGCTGCGGCTGCTGCTGCTGTTGCTGTTGCATCGCCACCTGCATCTGCTGGATCTGCTGTTGCTGGGCGTGCAGCTGCCTCTCGGTGTTCTGGATACGTTTCTGTAGCTCGTTGGCCTGCCTCTCGGCCGCGTCCGCCCGTTGCTTCTCCTGCTCGCATAGCTTCCTCCATTGTTCGACCTGAGCCTCGTTCGCGGTGCCGGCGGCAGCGCTCGCGTCCCTCGAGGTGATCTGCTTTTGCAGCTCCTGCACCCGTTTCTCGGCCTGCTCGGCCCTCTGCCGCTCCTTCGTCTGCGCCTGGGTCAGACTCTGCACCTGCTGGCTCAGCCGGTGAACCTCTCTCATCTGCGCCTCGAGGGCCTCCTTGGCCGCCCTGTCCGGCGTTTGCGCGTGCACCCTCTGCTGCTGCAACTGCTGCAGCCGGCACACCTCCTCGCGCTGACGCTCGAGCTCCGCTTCGTTCGTGCTCAGTTCCTGCTGGAAGTTCACCAGCATCTCCTGCGACTTCTCCAGCTGGATGATCAGCTGGTCCCGTTCCACCTGCAACTGCTTCGCCTCCGCCTCGAGCTTCTCCTTCACCTTCTCGATCTTCTCCGAGTGCTTCTCCCGGTTCTCTAGGATCGCCGCCATCTTATCACGTTCCCGCTGAGCGAGCTGTAACTCGTGCTGAAGATGAGCCATCTCCTCGCTGCCGGCCAACTGTTGCTGCTGCTGTTGTTGCTGCTGTTGCTGTTGCACCCTCCTCAGCTCCTGCCTGATCGCCTCCCGCTCGTCCCTGAGCATCTGCATCTCCGCTGCCAGCCGTTCGAGCTCCTTCTTGTTCGCCTCGGCCGCCTCTTGATACTTGGCAGTCTGCATGTGCGCCTTCTCGAGCTCCTTGGCCAGCCTGCCCGCCTCGAGCTCCACCTGATCGCGCGCCACGATCGCCTTGTCGAGGCTGGCACGCAATCGTTCGACCTCGATGCTCGCGCTCTCCGACCTGGTTTTACCCTCGGTTTGCATCAACCTCTCGAGCCGTACTATCTCCACGCGAAGCTTCTCGTTGTCCGCCTCCAGGGCGTCCGCTCTCGCCTTCACCTTGTCGTGACGATCGCGTATCTTCTCGGTTTCGATTTTCGCGCGTTCGATCTCGCCGCGGTTCCGCTCCAGGGCCGCGGTCGCCTTGTTGGTATCCTCGCGCGCCCGCTCGAGTTGAAGCTGCGTCTCGTGCAGCTTCGCCTCGAGCTCGGCGTTGCTCGACTGCGTCCTCTTCAGGTCCGCCTCGCGGCTATCCAGACGTTCCCGCAGCTTGTCCACCTCTTGCTGTAGCCTACTACCCTCGCTCTGCCACTTCTCCTGCTCGTACTGGTATTTACCTCGCACCCCCTCCGCACGTTCCAGATCGGCGCGCAGCCTCGAGGCGTCCTGCTCGGCCTTCCTCGCCCGCTCGAGCTCCGCCAGCGCCTTCTCCAGCCGGTCGCGGAGCCGCTCCACCTCCAGCTTCGCCCACTCGTGCTCCTCCTTTTGCCGTTCTTGGCTTTCCTGATACTTGCCGAACCTCGTCGCGTACCTCTCGCACTCCTCGCGCGAGCTCTCCGCTTCGACGCGCAGTCGTTCCGCTTCCGCTTGCGCTTTCCGCACTTCCGCCTGCTGCCGATCGTGCTTCTCGTACATCTTCTCGATCTCCAGCTGCATCCGGGCCAGCTCTTCCTGCGTCTTTTCCGTGGCCCCCTGCGCCTTGTTCAGCTGCGAGTGAGCGCGCTCCAGCTCGAAGCTGATGCGCTCGTTGTCGGCGACGAGTTTCTCCCGCTCGTTCTGAAGCCTGCGCAGCTCGATCTGAGATTTCTCGTATCGCTCGCGAACCATCTCCAAGTCTACCGACAGCCTGTCCAGGTCCTCCTTCGACTTCTCCTCGTGTTCCTTCGTGCGACCCAGCTGGAGTGCCGCTCGATCGTACATCTCCTGTACGCGGGCCAGTTCCTCCTGCGCCTTGCGAGCCTCCTCCCGGCTCTTCTGCGCCAGCATCTGCTGCTTCTCGGCCTCCAGCTCCAGCCTGTCTTTGTCGGACTCCATCACCTCGATGCGATTCTGCAGTCGGTACACTTCGCTCTGTGCTCTGAGAAATCAAACGTCCCGAGTCAGTCCCCGTAACGTTAACAAGTACGACATGTGCGTTTACCTGTCGTATTTCTCCAACATCTTCTCGAACTCTTTGTTCGCGTTCTCTCGTTCCTCGTGAGCCTTGTTCATCGCGTACTGTGCCTTGTCTAGCTTCTCCTTCAGAATTTCGATCTCGGTCAATGCGTCGTCTCGCTCGAGCTACAAATACGAACAACGTACAGGAGGATTCGATCGGGATTGATGCAAAAATTGCACAACGCAGTCGTCTCGTTCTACTTACAGTTAATTTTTGATGGGAGTTGTGAGCCTTCTCCCATCTCTCCTTAACCAGCTCGAGCTCCGACAGTACCATTTCCTTGTCCCGTTGATACTTCGCTATTTGATTCTGTTGGAACTCTATCCTCTCGTGTAGCTTCTCCATTTCCTCCTGGAACCCGTCCCTCTCCTTCTGCAGTCTCTGCATTATGATCTGCCAGAGAGAAATGGAATAGTGACAACGCGTCCCTTGATCGATCTTAGAAAATAAGACCAGTACCTGAGCCTTCTCGTATTTGTCCTGCAACCGGTCCACCTCTAATTGAATCGTTTCTCGTTCCTTCTGCATCCTCGTCGATTGACCCAGTGCTTTGTCCAGTTGGCTTTGCAAGTTGTCGAAGTCGTAATTCTGTTTTTCCTTCTCCATTTGCATCTGCGAACAAATTAGATCTTCGATCACTGAACGATCATTTATCGCAGCATGGGATTTTATTTATTTATTGGAAAATTAAAATTCGCACGTCTAATGATTCCCAAGTCATCAGATGCAAGCTAGTGCAATGTGTAAAACTAATAGTCATCGAAAACTGAACGATAATGATAAATTAATAGTGATTTTCGACTCACCCTTCGAATTTCCGTTTGCGTCTTGTCGAGTTTCTCCTGTAGCTTGTCCACTTCGCTCTGCGTCTTGTCCAATAGATTCTGCAATTTGTCCTGTTGAAGTTGTGCCTTGCCGAGGGTCGCCTGAGTCCGTTCCAGTTCTTCCTGTGTCTTTTCCAGTTCCGCGATCGCCTTGTCCCGTTCCGAGTGCAGACGAGCGACCGACGACTGCGCTCGGTCGTACTCGTCCCGAAGACTTTCCTGTTCGCCTTGAGCATTCTCCAGTCTAGCTTTTAGCCTGTACACTTCGCCTTGGCTCTTCTCCACCTGAAAATAAATTCAGACAAGAGTTCAAACGAAACATCTTATTTATTCATTTATTTATTCACGAGCTTCGGCAGCCCTTTGGCGTGCATGATGCATATGGAGCAGAGTTTACATGTTTGGAATAGCGCATGTACGTTGATTCGAGTAGGCAAGTATTTAAAGTCGATCAGATTTTGAATTTACCTTCTCTTGGAGAGCAGCGGCTTCGGCCCGGGCCCTCTCGTTGTCGGCCTGCGTGACCCTGAGCTCAGCTTGGGCCCTTCTGAGTTCCGCCGCCGTCTTCTCCGCTTTCTCTTGAATCCTGTCCATCTCCTGAGAAGAATTGAGCGTGCTCCTGCCGTAGGTTTGAGACCTGTCCATCTCGTGCCTGAGCCTCTCGTTTTCTAGTTCTAATCTGGCCATTCTCTGCTTGGCAGCCTCCCAGTCCGCTCCGCTGCGGCCGACCTCGGACGCAGCTTTGTCCAGCTCGGCTTTACTCTTGCCGAGCTCGGACTGCGAGCTTTCGAGCTTCGTTTCCAGCCGGTCCTTCTCTGCCTGTGCCCTCTCCAGTCTGGCGCCTAATTTCTCGACCTGATCAAACGAACAGTTAATTAAAACACGATTTCAAACAATAATGTAGCTTCGAAGCTGTTCTGTCGGTATCCAAAGTCGTGGATTCGTGCGGCTTGTATCGTGGTTTGGATCTTATGAAAAAATAATTGTACTACGTGAAAATGAATGTTCCGCCGGACTTACTTCGGACTCGAGCGCGTGGATCTTCATTTTGTACTCGGCGATCTCCCTCTCGTGTAATTCCCTCTCTTCCTGCTTGTCCTGCTCGGCCCGGTCCCTCTGTTCACGTAATTGTGCCATTTGCTTTTCCTTATCTCCTATTGCCTCCTCGAGGCTACTCAGCGCGCCTTCGCTGCTGCAGTGGTGCGCCTGCATTGCCGTTAAACGCGCCCTGGCCATGTCGACTTGGTTGTCCTTCTCTTTCAGCAGATCCTCCAGATTTTCGATCTGAACTCACAACCAATTCTCATTTAGAAATCGTTTCTCTTTTTATTAACGAGAATCGAAGGTGTTACGTAGTAATAGAATAATTGCAAGTGTTACGAGCACGTAAAGTGTGTCCTTCCGAAGTAATTTTCTAGTCGTAATTAACTACGATTGACTATTTTAGAAACGAAGTTAATTGGAATTAATAGAATGTTAATCGTTAGACTGCGGATTCGACATTACGACAAATTAGCTTTAGAGTTCAACTATTACTTGTTCGAATCTGTACGACAACTGCGAGTGCAACGAGAGTAAGAAAGTTCTTACTTACCTGCCATCTGCTACCATCGATCTTCACAGCCATCGTTCACAATTTGCTTGAGAGACATTTACTCATAACCAGACACTCGCGGTATACAGCAACAAATAATCTCTACCGCGACAAAGAAATAAATATGACCGCAGGAACGAACGTGACAGCATAAGAAACAGAAACGAGTAGCGTCGATGATTAACGACAGCCATTCGCGCGAGACGCGGCCGATGGCTATCGTCGATCATCGGGGTAGATAATCGGTTGAGGTGCGGGTGTGTGCGAGTGAAAAATAAAATAAAACTGGACGGCAACATAATTTCTAGCAGGTTTTTATTGACGGACCGAGGTACAAGTGATACGTGGTCGGACGCGGGAGGGTGGTCAACTTAAAGATAACGGGCTATTTTACGTACTACAAGGCTTTACACAGCGCGACTAGGAAAACATTATTATAAAAAGTATGTCGCGCGGGCGCGCGCACGTCTCACACTCATTCCAATCGACAGCAAGATTGACACTCATGCGCAGTCCGTGGTCGCATCCTACGAATGTTCTACTACGCTAAGCGTGCGCTTCCTCTTTGATCCGGCTGCCTGATTAATCACCGGACGCGGAATCCCGAGGGAGGAGTAATTACCGCCACCCGGGAGCCGGCGAATCGTTACCCGCTATTTTAACGACTGCTACTCGATACACAGAATGTTTCAAAACGACGATTTCTCACTTCGTCTTACATTGACAATGATAGGACGCTGAACGTTTCCTCGATAAACGAGGCTGTGCAAAAGGTAGGGAACGAAGTCCAGTCCGGGAAACATTTAATCGGACATCGTGTAATTAATTATATCTCGATTTACTGGTCATTATCACAGATCGTTTAGTCAGATTAGAAATAAATTGCCCCTACTGCAATTCCGTTCCTCAGGTTTTGCACCGTGAGTGAAAAATGTAAGACGACGTACACGTCTGCGTGACAATGAATCATTTTTAGAAAGAGGGTACTGACCTTTCTCTGAAGCACGTTGATCTTCCTGTCCTTAATGTCCATGTGATCCTTCAACTCGGCCAGTTCCGTGCTCATACGATTCCTTTCCTGTGTCGCCTGCATCGCGGCCTGCGTTTTCTTTTCGATCATCCGGTTCTTCTCCTCGACCCTCTGCCGCAAATCTTCGACCTGTGCAACCGCGCATACAAATTCATCTCCGGGACACGCGTATATACGTGCGCGGCTACCGATTGAACCTGCACGCGACGCAAGGAAACGCTATCAACAGTCCGCCCGCGCGATTGCAGTGGAAAACGGGAGGAGGGCGACCCAGTTTCCTGCAGCGTGCCGGCCTTCCTTTCCCCCTATAACGACCTCCCCTACAGTCGCATCTACCCAGTTCCGAACCCCCCCGTGCAACCTTCAAGGATCCCTTCCTTCGTTAAACCGTTTACTGCCGCTTTGAGCGAGGAACTTTGCCATGGTGGAATTTATAGAACCTCGGCCGCGTGGCTTTATTCACTCGCACTCGTGGAAATTAACGAGCTAAGAAAGCCTCGGGCATCAGTTTTTACGACCAATGAAACTCGTACGAAAATTTGATCCCATTATCAAAACTTTTACAGCGATCCGATGAAAATTCATCCCCCCGGGGAAATCTGAGAGGATTTACCGTATAAAAGCTTCCTGCTACGTATGACGTATCGATCGACGGGATAGAATACGCTCGAGTTTGAGAATTGTCATTCGAAACGAACAATTAATTACCGAGGGAAACTTTTTTATACGACGAATTACGTATGGGTGACTCACATCGACCTGCATCATGTTGTAATGCTCCTCCTTGGCGCAGAGCGACTCTTTGAGCACGGTGATATGCCGCTGGTAATCCTGGTGCTGCTCCTCGAGCGTCTTCATCTTCGCCGACATGGCCAATAGTTCCTGGTCTCTGCGCTGCACTTCGGTCCGTAGCTCCTCCAGCTGCGAAAAATAGTCGTCGTCGACGATGGGATCAGTCGTTGGTCACCCAGTTCAACGTGTCTCGAACGACGACGAAACAACGAGCGACGGAGGCGTCCGGTTCTGTCGTCTCTCCGTCGTTGACCGAGTACGACGACGGTCAGCGGCCGACTTCCCTTCGATCGTTTTCGGCTTTCGAACTTTCGACTAAATCGGCCATGAAACGGGTCAACCGTTTCGTTTCGTTCCGATCCGCCAACTCGCCGATATACGCGAGCAAGACTGTCACGTTGCCCGCGGTTGGCACGTAGTTCCGTTCCGCAAATTAGATATTATTCCGCGTTGCTAATTCGAGGCACCGACGGAAGAAATCGAGGGGGATAGCTCGCTAATTAATCGGACGTCGTTATCGTCGAACGTGCTTCATTCTTAATTTGCAAACTGGTCGTCGTACTCGGGCAACGTCGCACTCGTCATACTGAGCATGCAGCGATATCGAAACCAACGATACAAAGTTACAAACAAAGTGTATCCTGCGTGTACGAGAAATATACTCAATTACGTGTTCGAACGAATGTATTTCTTTTCTGGGGGGGCGTGATTGTCGGAGACGGGAATCAAACGGACGGAGCGGGATGAGAGCGTTTGGAACGTATTATGTATTGTGTCTCTCTCTTTTATTTAGTCGTGTACGTACCTACTACGCTCGTCTTATCTACTCTGGTGTCGGCAGGCCGCGTGAGCATCCCTCGGCGAGATCTCTCGAGATCCCGCCGCAGGATCGCAAAGCAGAATCAACACAACTAAATGTTCTCTAACTAATTCAACTAGCAGAGTTACGCAGCGTGATGGAGATATCGCGGTCCTGTCTCCCGTGATCCAAGTAAACCGTCGTAACGGAGATAAGAACTAATCGGGAGAAGCCTGGACTGCCTTGTTAACAACGAATTTCCTCGATTTTTATCCTGAACATCCGACGGATCGAATTCTACTACGGATTACTTCGATCAGAGGTCAACCATATCTCAGCCCAAAGACAAAGCACCAGGCGTCGACAGTCGATCGGATCCAACGGATCGCGCATCGATCCTCGATTCACCTCCTTTCAGCGTTCTATGTCGTGCTAAGGTGTCGAAAAAAAAGTATAAAAAAAAGAAAAAGAAAACGAAATAAGAAGGAAGAGATCTACTGTGAGGCGAGCGATCGTGGCGATCGGTCTCGGGTTTACGGAAACGGGCGCGGTGGTATTCTCTTCAAAAACGACGGCCACGAGCCAAGTTAATATAACTCTACGTATACACTAGTGATCTACGACACGAGATCGTCGTTTTCGGCTGCACACACACGCACGTGGGAGACTCGGTCGACTCTTCTTTATTTCCTGCCACGTTCCGCAACGTGTCAACGCGGATCGTTTCCGCACGCTTTACGTGAACCATTGCGAACAGTCAGATCAACGACTCACACCAGAGAAAGGGAAAGAAGAGAGAGAGAGACAGAAAGAGAGAAAGAAAGACAGTCCTCGAAGTGGTTAGCCAGTTTCAGAACCGAGTTCAAACTTGTATAACTGTTCGCCTATCGAGACAAATGCAGATTTAATGCAGCTGCAGAGAACTTTGACACGTAAGAAAATATGAAGAAGGTATGAAATGAATATTCGTTATGCGTTATTAGTTTCGAAGGGTGAGTGAAATTTAATTTTCTAAATTGACGTTAAAAACGTCTTCGGTCGAATCCGAGTCGCTTGGATGGGTTATAAAAGTTTCGAGTCGCCTCGGAAGCTTGCCGGCCACTCCGTACAGAGAGTGAACAGAAAGAGAGAGAGAGAGTGTATGTGTGTTAAAGAAAGTGTTACTACGGAACATCGAAACACTCCGTTACATAATACGGTAATCACGTAGATGGAAACGAAGGATAGGTGGTGACTTGGAAGTGCTTCTTTGTCGGGTGGAAGAATATCCTTACCTCCTCAGTAAGCTAGAATATCGGGGCACCACATTTAATAATGCTTCGCTCGCCACGAAGATCGCCCAACTCCACCTCCCTCTTTCACTCGTCATTGTTCTTAATCCCTTCGACAAATCTCCCTCTCCCCTAACGATTTGATTAGAAACCGGGCAAAAATCTATCCCGAAGAGGCAAACTATCGCTAGACTGCGGACTCCTACCGTCCCCGATGTCGATTTAAAAAAATCAAATCTTTTCTTGCACGTAACACGTGTTCTTCCGCAGTCTAGTCGTCGCCATGTTCAATTGTTGATCGATAGAGAAGTTTTCCAATCGAACGTGATCAGCTTTCTGGCCGGTGATTTACTGGAGTAGGAGGATCGTTCGTATTCCGAGCACGTGGCAATTTATACGGCCGTCGTTAAACGCTGCAACGTTATTAACGATCGCGGCACGATTCCCAGAACGTCGTTACGCTGCGGTTACCGGAAGAGACGAGTCGAACGAGTTCGGCGGAATTGGGGACCGCCATCCGTTGCTTGACTTATCACTAACTTAGCTCTAGCTTAACTGCTAATGTACCCTTATGATTACGTGGGCGCCGAAGGATCATTCGCTTCGTCGGTATTAACATTCAACAATCATTACTGTCTTCCCATTTTTTAAATCGGTTCCTGGTCAACGCTCAGTTTACTCCTCTCCGTCACAAACGTTAACGTACAATTACAGGACTGCGTGTCCTCGTGCAAATTATTTATGCGCCGGTTTCGCGACGTAATCGCGAGACGTTTCCCGATCGAGAAATTAGAGAAAGGATGGAGAGGAGCGTTCAGATATGAAGTTGGAAGATCGTGAGCGAAACGAACGATCCTTTCTGCTTATCTGCACGACTAGGTGATGATCCATGGACGATGATACGTTTACCTGATCGGAAATCGATCATGGACGATTTGGCTGGATGATGAGAGATGGATGCCATGTATGTACGTTGTCTGCGTGCATGCAACATGCATTAGGGTCGGGGAGAGACCGATACGAGAGAACTCGCATGCATTCGCTAAGAGAATGTCAGGGTTCGTACCGCGACGCGAGGTGTGTCAAGCGTGATCGTACACGAACAAACACGAACAATGTTTCCGAATTGTCTAATGCGACTCGCGACGCATTCCGATGAATTTCGTTCGGCCGACTTTTATCTACCGATTCCCGGGCTCCGCGGGGATTCCTTGTTATCGTTCCGCGAAAGCCTCGGGAAGTTCCTCGGAGGCAGACGATAACGAGCCGGTTCGCTGCACAACTGTGCCGTTCAGTCGATTACGTTCGGTTTTTTCACTTTTGTCCCACATTCGGATCCGTCTTTAGGCTCGGGTCCTTCTTTGAACATCGGATATCAAGAAATCCCGATGGAGGCGCAAGATCGTACGTACTAATGACTTGACTGCTACCTCGGTTCCAAGTGATGTTCGTTAATTACCAGCAGCGACGATCGAACTGCGGGTTTCTGTGCAAAACGGAAACGTTCGTTTCATACAATTTCATGCATAGAACCCGCAAGTCGAACGGCAATGCGATCTCTGTCTCGTTCAATGACTAACTGCTAAATGATTGCGTTTTCACGTGTCTAAAGTCTACGGCTTTAGTCTCACGCATGCGGCATGCCTAACAATTTGCATACGAACTCTACGCGACGAGAGAATGGCGAACGAGGATGAACGTGTGACGATGAGAGATACGATGATGGCAGTGAGAAGCTTTCAATGGAAGTCCTGACCAGTGGATCAATATTGTAAATGATTGAATGATTGACCATGATCCGATTAACCCTCGGGCGAGATTGATCGATGAAAACGAATCGACGTGACCAACGAGCGTGTGAGCTAAGTCTACGTGAAAACGGTCGATGACGAATGATGTTTAACGGATTCTCTTTTCGCGACTCTTAATGTCTGTTCAGTGTGGTGAGATCCCAGTGACACGAGTCAATGATCAACGAGCCGATGCCGGTTTTCTACTTTGGTGAGAGAAGTGCGATGGTTCGGGGTCCTGCAAAAAGTGATCGTCTTTCGGGGCGGGAGGGTGACTTTCTAACGTTATCGAGTGCGTGAAAAGCTGATGGCGAGCTCTCGTGATAATTGAATGGAGAATCGATGGTGTAGAATATTTTCCCCATGGAACGTGATGAGATCGATGAGATCGGATGAACAGAGAAGCTCCCATGGCCGAACATAAAGGGACTTGGGATCGGGATTTGAAATCTTGGATCAGAGATTCAACAGAGTCTTATTCTTTCTTTCTCTCTGTTACATTAGTTATTCCCCTTTTTCGATAAGTCACTGACCTGCCATTTGCAGGGATGTTTCGTTTCATCTTGGCGTTCTTTAGAACGTATCTGGATCAGGGATTGAACAATTAAAGCAAAAAATAATTATAAATATCTCTTGTTCCACGTCACGTTTCGTCGAACGCTTCTTAGCCGTCATAGCACCTGGTGGCTGCCGAACTCTCAAGGAGGATCGTTTCGCACATGCACGGGTACACAAATCAACAGCGACAGGGTGTCAGAGAACGAAATCGTCCGTTCTCTACTTTTCTTTTTATTATCGTCCTCTCTCATTTTTTTTTTTATATGTACGTATATATAGAGTCCCACAAGATATCGTTCGGTGTGAGAAAAATTCGAAGAGGATCGGTTGAGCCTCGGCTTCAGGCTCGTTGTAGACCTTGCGAGCGTAGAGTCGTCCCCAAGACGGCTCGGACGCGTGAGATCGTGAAAACGTTGTCGAGGTAGAAGGATGTCCGGAGATCGGGGACGTCCTTGCGAGCTGCGTCGAACTTCGCTACGTGGTTTCGTCCTCGGAAATAGGTGAGGGGGATGGGATTATCCCTGCGGGGTAGTATTTGGGGGTTATAGTTTCGTACGCATTAGCCAGCTCGCCACTGCGATTCCGCGGACTCCGAATTCCGACTCGCACCCATTTCGTTCGTCGAAAATTTGTTTGCACTTCGTTCGAAGTCGTATGCGTCGAGAGACTCTTAGTCCTAGGTGAAAGTAGAAAAATAAAGGATCGTCGGAACCTCTGCTCACGGGAAGAGAGAACGACGCGCGATGACTCTATCGGTTTACGGAAATCCGAGGTTCCATCGTTCGATTTTTACCTGTCCGCGTGTTATATATATTTCGGTTTTGACTAAGCGACTAAATGGGGACCGGTGGTGGGGTCTGAAACGCTCTCTCGGATACGAAAATATACCGTTGCAAGCGTTCTGCTCGTGTTGCTCTTCCTCGTTTACGCACGCTTTGTCTGTACGCGCTATCGCGTTCTCCTTGCACGCGTGTATCGCCACTGTCGGAGTATCTCGGTTCCCTGTGGAATTTACTACGGGTTCGATTTGGCTGAGATTCAGGCAGGTTCGATTTTCAAATGAACGATCCCCACTATCCTACTATGGAATTACCCTATACTTTCAAATCTCTTTGAGATAGAAAATATATATATACATATATCTTCTCTACGTTAACGATGCTCTATGAAAACGAACGCATATTTGTACTCTATATCCGGGAGCTAGACTGCGAATTTGACGCATTCATGAAAATCATATTCAATAATTAAACAGCTGCATTCGGCATTGAACGGCAGTGAAATTCGCGTTCTAATTTGTTAAACGACGAAACGGATTCCTATCTACACTTCCGGAAATCCGCAGTCTACTATTCAATTTAAAAAATATATTCCTCCAAGAAAATATTTGTTCAATTTTTTTTTTACCCTACGAGGATCGTTCATCTGGCGACTGATTCGAAATCGTTTGCCCAAATCGAACTGCGGTGGTTCCAGGAACGCGTCACGAAAGATGCTCCACTTTTAAAACAACATCGCCTTCTATGAAGACGCCACTAATTCGATCACGCGGCTACACAACGTGAACGTTTCTAATACACTTTCCGGGATTGAACAACTTATATCATCCTCTAAGGCCTAGACATTAGGTACGCGTGGTTGCTCTCGGGCCTACGTAGAAGCTACCGAATTGTGACTTTCTCATTGACTTTCTCGCGCAGAACTGTTCGAAACCCATCTCGAAGTTCCCTCTCGCCACGCGGCTTCCCATCGCATCTTCGTAAGGGGACGGGGCAGGTCGAGGAAAGGAATTGAGACAGCCGTCGCTCGGGGCTGGTCGGAGGGAAACCGGTCGAGTTAACGCGGGGAACGAGAGGGTGTCGATCATCTTCGTAGACCTACGATTTCTTAAACAGGTACAATCGATTCAAAAAATAGAAACTCTGATGTCCGATACGTAACGGGAGGTAAAGAAAACAGGTACGCTACCGTGTCGTCGTGAATGCACGCAACACGATATATACGAGTCTATGAGAAGTAAAATGTTTCTCTGGGGAACGAAACGGAATTCCAACGCTTGGGGGACGTGCGCGAAAATCAAGGCCACGATTTAAAAAGTAGAAAAAGTAAGCGTATCGCGTTTTATGCCGTTAGAAAACAGAACACGGAGGATATGGCCAGCTTGAGACTCGCCGTTTCATCATGTTTGTGCGCGTATTTCGCTGGCCTAGCGGTCATCTTAGTTCTCATAACACGGACTCATATACACGTGGGGCTGCGCGTACGACGCGACGTTCGAGAAGACGCGACGAAAGGTAATCGAAAGATCCACGGGACGTTTCGACCGATTCGATTGGCAAAGAAGAATGCTTCCTTTCCTCTCTGCGAACAGATATATCCGACATTTACACACGGCGATACGCGATCGTCGCTTCGATTCGATCATTCGTTCGTACTTTCTTTTGCTCACCCTTTCACGGTCTCATTCACACGTTCTCTTTCGAAGAGAGTAGCTATGGCAAGCCTAACGGAACACAGCCGGATTAACGAATCTTTGTTGATCGGTGTCGGCTCCTCTGCACATTCTAGATTCGTGGAGGATGGAAAAACAGACGATCAGTCTCTGTTTTCTCTCGGCGAGCTTTTTCGTCTTACGAAAAGAGACGCAAGTAGTAGCAGTAGTAGTAGTAGTAGTAGTAGTAGCAGTAGTAGTAGTAGTAGTAGTAGTATATTGTGTAGTATCGTGAGCCTTTTCTCTCGATATACCTGTAGATCGGGCAGACTCGGCGAGTACCCTGCGGCGCGCAAGCTACCCCGGCAACGCAACAGATTCCCTAGACGGCGTCGTTCTTTTCGATCCGCACGTTGTTGATGAAGAAACTTACTTGCCGTTTGAAGTTCATGTCGTGCTTGTTGAAGGTGTGCGCGTGCAACGCCAACGCGCCCTGCGCCGCGGGCTCAATTTGTTTCAAGTGTTGCTGGATTTGTTGTTGATGGTGTAACTGCAATTGATGATGATGCTGCTGCTGCTGCTGCTGCTGCTGCTGGAGATGCTGCTGTTGATGGAAGTGAGGCTGATGATGATGAAGATGAGGGTGAACCTGATGGAGATGATGATCGGCGTAACGATCGGTAAAGGGATTGACCACGCCGGTGGTAGCGCCCGACGAGATGCCAGCCAGGCACGAGGAACCGCCCACACCGCCGCTCGTGGTCCCACCTGTCGAACCGGCAAGCAACGAACTGGTTAAAGCCGTGGACGACGTGTGACCGTATGGTACCAGCGAGGTCATCACGGACGGTCCCCTGGCCAGGGCCAACGTGCCGGGCTGCTGCGGACCACCCATACCCGTCACCAATCCCTGTCGCGTATCGATACTACCAACAGCGAACTGCTGTTGCTGCTGTTGCATCGCCGGTTGCTGCGCCGTTATCTGTTGCTGCATGCTACCCCCGCTACTACTAACTACGGCGGTCGCTTTCAACAACTGATCCCTCAGTCTACCGCCGCATTCCTTAATACGCTGTAACTCGGTCTCGAGCAGCGCCACTTCCTTCTCCAGGGTTTCAATACGCGCGTCTTTCGTCTCCATGATGGCCGTCAGGGTGGTGCTACCGGGCACGCCGCCTGGAACCGCCACGCTACCTCCAAGGACAGTACCGCCTCCACCTGATACGCTACCTAGCCCGCCGTAACCAGCGCTTCCGCCAGCCACTGCCGCCCCGGATGACGCGGTCGACGCGTACGCCAGCTCCAGCTGCGTCTGCAGGTTCTTCAGGCTCTCGTTCGTCGCTTTGAGCTCCTTTACAACACAAGTAATACGGGCACGGTTACACTCGTCGCCTCCGTCATCGTCTCGTGTCTCTCTAGCGAGCGTGCGAGGGACTTTGTATCTGCTACTTTGAGTTTTTTTTTTTTTTATCTTGGTGTGATGTATGCGGTGGTTCGGTTCAAGTACTAATGGTGGTCGGCTGCGACTTCGCCCGCGAGAGCTGTCCCGTTAATTAGTCGTTGAAAGTTATTAAAACTAAACAGTTATGTAATTACCTTCATAATGAAAGTTTGTACAAATTGAATTTTCACACAGAAATCATAATTGAGATATTACTTATGGACGTGTTTAAACAAGTTTTAAGCTGAATTCGCATGTAGAAACAGTTGAGAATTTGAGAACGGAGAGATGAGACGCGGGACAGCCTCGGGGCGGAAGTGGCACCGGCAGCGTCCCGGTTGACGAAAGAAAAGCGACGTTCCGCCGAGCTTCCTTCCTCCTTCGACACATCCAGCCCGTATTCCGGTGAAGGCCACGGGGCCTAGCCGTCCCGAAGTATATTCTCTGAACGACGTACATCGAAGCTCGCTGCCTGTTCCCGGCGGAGCTACGAGGAGCACCACCGATCGCCGATGACATCCATGATTGTCCTCGACAAATTTTCATCTGATCTCTCGCAAGGTCACCAAACGTTTCGAAGCCAATTCTCCTTTGAATCATTTTAATTCACGATCCTCTTGCGGACGCCGGGCGCCGCCGCAGTTCTTTCGCCCACCGCGACGTACGGCCGACATCGTTGTCCATATTTCTGCGCGCGGCGTTTCGACGACTCTCTCTGTTGTTTTTCGCCCCCTAACAATCTCCCCGATCGTTCCGACCCGACGTATCCAAGACGGTCGTGAATCTCTCACGGTATCTTCCCATGACTTCGAGGACACGAAACGCGGGCACGTCGCATGGACAAGATGAACACGAGCGATGCGTATCCACGAGGTGAATGCTAATGATACGTGAACAAAACTCGAGACCGAAGAAGAAGCTGAATGGTGAGACGTGTGCTCGAAGGAATCTGCCGAATGCCGGAGTGACCGTGTCACGGATTCGTGGATACGCATTTCGACGAGTGTGATATGTGATGAATCCTTCGACCGATTGCAAACCGACGATCGTTACTCCGTAAGACTACTATTAATCAGTAATTTTTCGTTCCTCTCTAATGGACGATGATCAACGACGTTTAACAGCTACTTGAATCTCTCTTGAAAAATGTTTGTCGAATCCAATTAGATTTTTGAATTCAGTCTGCGATCGGTCACGATGGAGAACACAAGAGGTATTAAACGGTAGAGGATAAGACAGTAGATTACGCGAGGAGAACGACGTCGTATTATCGCATGTCGCATCAGGTCGGTGCCAAACAGTCGCAAAGTCCTCTCTTGGGCCTGGGTACGACTCGCCTTGACGCGACTTGACGACTTTCGGACCGTCCCGCTGCTCAAGCATCGATTACGACGGTTGGCCATGATAGCGGTTAGTCGTGATGGGCAAGAACGTGTCTGAGACGTACAAGAACGAGAAGAGAGTATATAAATATATAACTGGTGGTGACTGGTAAAGAACATTCAGTGAGTTAACAGACGGAAGGTATGACCGAGTACAACAAATTAAACAAGAAACAACGTGTCGCCGTCGTGTCAAAGAAAAATATTGGTGCACTTCAGTTAATTTTTATTCTTAGATAGAGAAAAATTAGTCGTGAGTAAGTTGGTTGGTCGTGTGAGGAGGACAAACATTCCGTAATCGTATTGAAAATTTACATAGAAAGAAGAGTAGCCATTCATTCGCGTGTGTGTCATCGTGTCTGTATGTATACACGGTGGAACCTGAAATATTTTCTGATCCGTTCGTCTCAGTTATTGAAATATCTAATACGGATTGTTGTAAGCAAATAGTTCATAAAACGTTCCGAGTTCCACCGATAAACGTCTCGACTGTTGTACACGTGGTGTGATGATGGACGATTGCACACAATGAAGAAAATGATAACGTGAAAATGTTTCTTTCGACGGGACGAGTCAAAAGTTGCGCGGGGTCCAATTAAGTCCTCGAGCCGTGTCGCACGTTTCACATTTTACAATAGACTCGTGTCTGTAGTGAAATCGCATTGCGTATCTTCCTTGGATTTTTAACCATCCCACGCGTCTCCTTGCCAGATGGTAACTAACGATGATTCGAATTCAATATACTCTATTTGCATGGTTCACGATTTTGATTAAAACGGTTTCCGGAAACGCAGAGCGGATTGGTTTAATTAAAAATGGCGAATGGAAACGCGGACGCCGCGTCGGTTTTCATCAAACACAGATTCGATCGAACGCTCGAGATCGTGCAGGAAAATAGGCAATGGTGATCGTCAGACGCAGGCGTAATTTTTGACTCGAGATCCGCGGACTGTACAGCATACATACCGTAGCTTTCCCGAAGGCACGATCTCCAGCAGGTGTGTACACATAAAACTTCTCGAGACGCGCGTGTAACGTATATACGTGTACGCCTTTTATCCCTATCGAAGACGTGTTCTGCGGTGTCTATTGATTTCGCGCAAAAAGGAACTCGTCGAGATTCTACATTTACATCGAAACGGTTAAACGACTGTTCGCTGCAAGCTATGACACAAATCGTTTCTGAACAATGTTCATTTTTGCATCTCGACCAACGTACCGATTGCACGAAACTCCTCAGCTGACGTAAAGAAACGTAATTAGCAAAATTAGCAAAGGAACGATCGACCGTCTTTTCGTTTTACGTACGCGTTGCTCAAGGATCGTTTCGGGCGAGTGTGTCCGTTCGAGAAAATCGACTCTTAATCGTATGATCAGTGTACCTGTTGGGTCCTCTGTGGCGGGGCCTGGATCTGGGTAAGAGGTCACGTGCATGTCTTCGAGGCCACTAATTTCGTTATTACGACCGGCTGTCGGTGATGGTTCGTGGTGTCGATGTGATGATGACGATGGAATGATGATGGTCAGTATATCGACATTACTTTTTTTTTTTTTTTTTCATTGGCTGATCGATAATGTAGTGGTGGTTGTTTGTAGTAAATAGTAATTGTCAGAACGGGGTGAGTAACGAAGGGGCGGATGCGGGCGTGAGTTTATCCCCCGGTCGGGAGTTGCTAAAACGTCTTATCACCTACACATCCAAAGCAGCTCATTCCACGCATTCCAGTCGCAGCACGTTCTGCTCTTCCTTTATTTATGTGCAAATACTTATACGTGATTTATCATTGCATTCGTTTCGGTTCTCTTAGTACGTATTTTTTTTCTCCCCCTTCCGTACTTTCTCGGATCAGCCGTCCCTACGTTTGCCGGAGTCCTCGTCTGCGTCTCGTACAGTCGTCGTTTCGATCCGCAAGGTGCAAAGAGAAAGATAGAACAAGAGAAAGAAAGAAGAAAGGACGTGGGGAATGAGAGAACGATCTCGTGGGGACGGGGAGGAGAGACTCTATGCTCTTATGCGTACACCGTTCTCTATGAGATTGACTCCTGTCGCATGCATCGTCAAGGATCGTTTGCCACAGCTTGACATACTTCACTGACCTCTCAACTCTCTCTCTCTCTCTCTCCCCTCTCTCTCTCTCTCTCTCCCTTATGTGTGTACAAACATTTTCCATAGCAATTTCCGGAACTGAACAAAAAGCCAATCACTGCTAATCGTAACAAGCACTTTTCCTATCTAACATAATTTTATGCCTGAAAATAAATACCAATCTTCTGTTAAACTTCGCGCGATTGTCTGCAAACCAAATAATAAAATCCAAGAGCTGAAAATAAAATCGACAACCTAATTATTCTCGATACACGTATTGAAACCTGTTTGAAAAACTACCCCCATCGTGCATGAAGTATGTCAATCATGAACGGGAACGAGGATGAGACAAATCAGACCCGTGTGGGAAGGTGTTACGCTGAGTGTACGAGAATAAATGCCATTTTGTGCTGGTGCATCGTTCGGTTTCTCGCTCGCGACGAGGCCCGATCCGTAGATGAACGAAGGGTGCGGTTGCCCCGGGCGCGTCCTCCCGGTGCGGAAAGAAGAGAGAAAGAAAGAATAAAAGAAAGGTGAGCGATGACGAGACGTCGGGTCAGCCTTTCCTTTCCGTTCCGATAGGTCATGATCTGTATGCATGATTCCTCTACGTAGAATGAATTCCCTCCGTTATCGTTCGACTCTACTTTCTTTGAACGTCCGCAAAATTGCCACTCAAGCCATGTCGACGTCACCTAAATCCTAGAACTAACACACAGGCACATACACGAAGATGCAGGGAGTACCTTGGGTAGCGTGGCTAGGGTGCCCGAGGGGGATGCGACGTCGCCGAGAATTTCCAATTTATGTTTCTTTCCTATTCTTTCCCCGTTCGTGAAGCTCGCATTACCCGAGTTTCAACTTTCCACCTGGTCGTTATTGTAAAGCCAGCACGCTTCAACATACGTACCGGAATTCATTGCAGTTTCCTACGCGATTCCCTAATGTATTTACGAGTCACGTGTGTCTGACTCGCGCGGAACTGCTCTACTGCGCGAGAACGAGTATTAACGGCTCTGGTTCCCTCGTCCCACAGATTTTCACCGGGCATTTTATTATCGTTTCAACTTCCAGCGTCAACTGTTAAAAACCTCACTTATCTCATTACTATCTTGATTATACACATTTATAAATTTGGAAACGAATGGTACGCGTCAACGACGTGTTTCCCTTGATACGAACAATTCTTAGGCGACTTCGCATCCGAGATCGGGCTAAGTGCACGGAACTATGTCTACGACGTTCTAAGGAATTGAATCTGAACGGTGAGGAGTGCTAGATAACACGTTGAGCGGTGCTCGTGGAACAGTGATCACTATCGAATCGTCGATGGTAGCAGAATGGCCACACGTACGTACATCTATCGGAATAAACGTTCTGCGATGGCACATCGTCCAAAAGATCCAGAACGTTGTTAATTCGATCCTGAATTTAGACACGACAGACAGAGCGATCGGATAAAAATTCGTCACACGATATCTGACGATCGCTTAATAATGCGGGACTCACTGCTTAATTCCATAACGACGAAAATACTGTTTCGTTTAACGTAAAGCTAGGTCACACGCCTCGACGGCAAGGAGTGCATTGCTCTGGGACGATAAAACGCGACGAGGGAGAACGGGTGAGGGAAAACTGATCGGGCGAAAGGCACGAAGCTGGTGCGTAATTCTTCTACCAACTAACCCGGAGCTTTTGGACGTTCGCGTGACGGGACAGAACGAGGAGATCGCACGATACTAGGGCGTGCACAGGTACGTCGCCGTGCAAGCATGAAACAGGAAGTAGATGGTATATGTGCGTTTGCGTGCTGATTCGCGGCCATAAATATATATATATATAGATTTTATGTAGATGTGCCTAGAAACATTGTCCGTGTGTCTGTATATATAATAATACCTCTCGAAGGTGTTCGCTGTTCGTGTTTGAACGTGGCTCTCGAAACCGAAAAAAGCGTCGTTAATCCCGATTCGAATGATACAGAAGTTCGCCGATCCCTATATCAGTTCGATTCCTCGTACACGTACCTGATAGTTTCTCTTGCGGAAGCCAAGAAAGCCAAGATTCGTGCGAGATTCGTGCGCAACCGAGCCATTATAGAATTGAACACGGACTCTCGCGGTCCGATCGAACACGCTCTAAATCGTCATTTGACCGCGATAACGATAAGTATTCGAACGAGACACCGCGGCGGCGTTTTAAACGAGGGAGCATCTTGAAATCTACGTCGAACGGTGATACGCGATTTCGGGGACGGCTGCGGGAGGCTTAAGCGTGAAATGACGCGGGGGGCGATAGAGTAACTGAAAGCCATTGGCAGCGCAATAATAATAATAATAGTAATAATAATAATGATCAATAAACTGTCTACTCTTCTGCAGGCAAACTACGTCTTACAACAAGTGGGCAGCGATATTCGAATAAACGCAACGGGGGTGAAAAGTAACGGTAGAATAGAACAGGTGAGAGAAAGAAAAATAATAGAGATAGTAACAATGTCGATATTTGCAATTAAATATTATATGGCGTGATGCACGCGCATCTCTCGCGAGATGCGTGTGCAAGAGTTTTGATGGGTTCGCGGTTAGGCGGGCGATACCATGATATATGTATATGTACATATACGTTTTTGATGAGCGTGAACGGTAATTATATCATCGATCAGAGTGATAGTGATACATATATGTATATAGAGAGAGAATAATAATAGTAATTATATATATATAGATATATATATATATATATGTATATTATGAATATGCCGACATGGGTAGAAATAGCTTAAGGACCTGCTTCTGGGCCATCGACTGCATCTGCTGGAACATGATCCTTTCCTCCTCTTTTCCTGGAACAGCAGAAAGCAACGAGAAGCTCTTGGGAGGTCTGCTCGATGTCCAGATTTTCAAACGGTCTCTGTCTGCGTTTTACACGATTTAACATCAATTTTTACAGGTCTCTTGGTACGGTTCTCTTCGAGATTTCTTTTTTTTTTTGTATATATGGGGGTGTGGGGGGAGCGTGATATTACTTTCGAGTCTTGCGGTTTTCGTGAACGTCGCAAACATAAGGATTCCTCCTCGATCGTAGCACTCCGTTTCACAATACTCGCGTCTCCCAACAGTTACAACGTGTTACCACGAAGAGTCGGTGATCGTTTCACAGCGATCCGTCTTACCGCTATGTCAGAGCGTCGCAGTCAATGATCGAATGACGGTCGTCGTCGAGAATGAAAGCGAGTAGATCGGTAACGAGTCGTTTGAAACGGCACGTGCCGGCGATTAACTATGTATATACTATTATCGTGAACTGGCCCTGTATCTCGGTGTTACGAGCCGGTGATATTTCCGTGAGGCGAACGCGGAAATAAGTTCGCCCACGTTCTCGTACCAGCCCAGCTCCGGTTACGAATATTTACGCTGCAGTTAACGCGGACAGACTCTCGTTCTACGTTCGTTACCGGCGGGCGATAGTTATAGAAAAGTGACCCGCAAGTGGTAAAATTTGCCGGTTCCTTCGACGCTTCCCTCCGGTGTGTACGTGTACCCTCCTCTTTACGCGGTAACTTATTGCTCGGGCTACGTAATTACGCGCGGGGATTAGATTAACCGGGGAATCGGAGAGCGCGGCGAGTGCACTAACCCACGTAGACACTCACCGGAGTCGTGTTAAGCCTCGTGAAATTTCAGTAATCAATTATTTCTGGATAGTGCTATAATGAAGTGCTAAAAGAACTTTATCCAGTCGTCCACTTGCACCGACCTATCGCCCTTCCGTATCATCGTTGCATTTGTTAAAATGAATTGCTGAATAATTCCCGTCTACTTAAAAATGCTGCGTTCTACTGAAACCCAGTTATGGTCTTATTGATTCGTATTTTACGATCGAACGAAACGTTCTACGAGTCGAAATTTATATTTCCTCCCATTCATTAGTAGAACTAGTCCTTCGATAAAAAAGACTTACGGGTAGTGTAACTTTTTCGGCAAGAGTTCAGATTAGTCCCTCCCTCAAGCGTTTTGCATGAAACGCACGTAACATGACGCGTGATCATAAATGAAATTCACGTTCACTCTCACCCTTGCCTATTCATAACGATATGCAACGATGACACGAGGGTTTGATACAAGTGGATCCGCACCTTCGCGGTTCTGATATTCTCTACAAAACTAATGCCGCTAAATGAAAAAGGAACGTCTGCCTCTAGAACATTGTCTTACGACGCGTGATCCGTAGAATGGTCACACATACTTTACTAGAAGATGAAACACTGTAAGGAAGAACGTGATACGGAACTGAAGCGAATCTATTATTTAAACTGCGGATTCGACGAGACGTGAATAATATAGAGTGGATCTTTCAAACTGATATCGCATAAATGTTTCGTCTCCAATGAAAACCCGCAGTCTAAACGTTGTTACATACTGGCAGCGTTTAGACCGATCGCTTCAGTTCAGTGTTCGCTCGAACTGGCACGAACAGTGCCACTGCGTGAACGAGACGTGAGTTAGTAAAATTGACTGCGTTCGTATTTGATAGTAGAATTTGAATGAAATGGCTCACCCATCCCCTTGTTTTGGAGCATCTCGAGCAGCTTCTTGATGCTTTCATCCCGAGCTTGCAAGGTCTGCTTCTGCGTCTCTATTCTCAATTCCAACTCCTGTAAAGAAAAGAGAGAGAAAAAACATTGGAATTGCATTTTAACCGAGCATCCTGAAGACGCGAATTCCGCAGGGTTTAATCAAAGGTCGCCGGGAGTAATTGAAAGAATTCAAGCTCCTTCGCGAGGATTTACGTTTCTCTCGATTCGCTCCCAGGGAAAGGAGATATTCCACTGCAAATTGCGTTCGTGCCGCAACTAATGAGATTGCTAACAAGACGTTCAACATTTCTACTTTCATCCTGTCGCCTCGCGACGGAACGCAGCTGCCCGTTTTTATCAATCGGATGTCACCGTCTAATGTCTTTGAATTATTAATCGACTCGCGTCGGATTCAAATAGTTTCATGAAGCATTTGCCAAACCGTTTAAATAAATCTTAAAATTTCCGACTCCTTCGACGGTGACTACCAAAAAATACGTTCGAATAATTCGTTAGGTTCTGACGATTACTTATCGGCTTGAAGTATTTCGCATGAATAGTATTTAGTTATTAATTAAAATGGGAATTGGAGCGATTGTTGAAATTGTGAGGCGAAAGGGGCACGAGTTGTTTTACCGGGAAATGCTCGATTTGTGTTACGTAGATAGTGGCAGCGCTTGACGCCCGTATAACGAATTTAGACCACCCCTTTGGATGGTAGGAACGTAATTAGCCTGGAATTAGACCCGCCACACCATCCCTTCTTCCTTTTAGAACCGACACTCGTTCGATGCCTTTGAATTTTCTCTGCACTTCCGTTCGCACAAATATTCCTTAACTACTACTTTTTTTACGCCTTTTAGAATACATTTCGATATTTATCGATATTTTGAAAAAAAAAAATTTTTTTATTTTTCCGAGATTTTTCCAAGGGGTACCCCTTCAGATTTTGCGAAATT